ACGATATATAGTAAATTTTCTTAAATTCGCCTAGTCCGCCTAAGCTCCAGCCTATCCCCTAACATCTTTTAAAACATTGATGGTCGCTTATTCAAATCTTCATTCTTTAACCTTCTAATTTATGCTTTGTAAGTAAACGAAATGTCATCTTCAATATCTGAAAGTGCAAACCAGGAAGAGTAGAGGAAGAAAACGTAGTGAGAAATAGAGGTGAGAAATAAAAGATGACAGCTAGACCTAAACCCTAAGAGTGCCAAAATCCTAGGCCCAATTTGAAGCTGGTACCATGTAGAATTATGTATCCTTGTTTTAATGTAGGTAGGGGTACAATATAATAGGGATAAGACAAGCCCTATTAAGGTAGGATGCAAATACCAGTTACAAATATACGATTGACAATAATTACAGAGAAGAATTCAGAGTCAAACATCAAACGAAATCCTAGCTATTCTTAGGGATTCTACTCTAACTTATCAAGAAGGCTTTAAAATATAACTTTCTTTCCATGACATGAAAATAAGCAAGACAACCAAATATATAATTAGTCATAATTTCTCAAGCTAAGTATGATTCATGCGCTCTGTCCCGTTTCTGTTGCGTTGTCTCCCTAACCATTGAGTGCCTGTTGAGAATGAGTTCCACACTAATAGGAGAAGTGATCTTGCATGGGCTTATAAGTAGTTGGGTTACTCCCCATATTGCTAATTGACTTTATGGTGGAGTCCAACTTTCTTCATAGCATCATAACAGGTTGTCTCATGTATGACGCCAAACGGTCATACACGCTCCACATCACCTTGTTGTGTTGTCAACATGTTAGGCTTGAAAATTCGCTACATGTGAAGGGCTTGTTGAGAAAGTTCTGGATTGATGAGAGGAGAGACCTTGCATGGGGTACTCCTCATGTTGCCAATTGATTTTACGGTGAAACCCAACTTTCTTCAATGCGTCACAATACCCTAATTTTGACAAAACTTCAAAAATGGATCAGACTTACTCTCTACCATTTTCTTATATGAGATTCTTGATTTATTATTATCACTTTGAGTTTCAATCATTTTCTTCCGCTTCAATAATTTTTCCAAGACATCTTTATGCTTCATAATGTACACACATACTTTTCTAGATTCTAGAGAAGTTATCAGTGAAGAAGACAAAATAATGGTTCCTCCCAAACATGCATTATCAGAAGGACTACACACATCAGTGTAAACATAATATAGAATACCTTAGATATGATGAATTGCAACCAAACTTTACTTAGTTTTGTTTTCCGAACACGCAATGTGCATACATAATGTGTACCTGTCTTACTGGATTATAAGATATCAACTCACATAATCCAACGACTAGAAACATTGTTTAGGATAATATGTATGAAGAGATTCTCTTTAACCTATATGCTCGAGAAGACTACCATTTTGAAATTACCACAATTCATATGTATGTAAAGTTATTCATGGACCAATTAGCTAGAATACATCTAGTAATTCTACTATAGTGATCTTGCCTTTGTGATTAATTAATGGACTAATCATTGTATCACTTTAAGCAATTCACTAATATTGATTCTTTTGAAGGCATACATCCAACAACGATGAGTGACGATCCGATTATCACGCAACCTAGCTCGCTAGTTGGGGTCAGGAATTTCTCTTGAAGCCAGGGAATGGTTTCAACCGGATTTCCTTCCGGGGTTGAAGTACTCAGGAATACGAATTTGGAGGTCGAAACTTAAGTTTGAGGAGTGGTTCCACGAACAGTCTCCAGGTCCTTTATCCACTTTTCCATATCAACAATGTTTGAACAGTTCTCTGCCTAAAAGCCTTCGAAATATTTTGGAGATCATCAACAGGTACGCGGATATTCTTCAAGGCTTCCCAAATCTGGTCCATGGTGGTTGCGTTATTGTTAGTGGACATGTTGAGCATTCAGTTATGGTGAGAACAGTAATCTGGTTGTCAATGAAAGCACCACCAATTAGAATTAAATTTCCGTACCAAAAAGTTATACAAAGACAAAAGTATGTCTTCCACAATATATTGTGGTTCATCATAACAAAAAGTCATTGAAAATATCTTCCACAAAATAAACAAATAATCTAGTTTCCCACAAAATAAAATCATGAGTTGACAACAAATCTGAATCCACATTATCAAAATATATCGTCTGCCCTCCTCATATGAACGTACTTTAATGTAAACAAATCAACACCTGCAATTTAACAACATATGTATCTCAACCTATATAATGCTAAAAAGTCACAAATGCACAAGAATAACTTAAAGAATTAAATACAAAGGGTGAAAGGCATTGCAGTATATATACATTCAAACAGGTGAAAGACATTGCAAAATTAAAGACGATGGGTGAAAGGCACTGCAGAAAAATCACATCTTCACGTCTGCCCTCCTCATATGAACTTTATGAGCATAAGAAACTTAAAGAATTAAAATTCAAAGAAGATTAAGACAAAAATTGAAAGGTTGTGTACTACCAGACTATGGCCTACATCAAACCACATTATCTTCTTTTTTTTTTTTTTTTTTTTTTTTTTTAACAAATGATAATATCTACACTAAGGGGAGGAGGTGGGCTTAGACTCACAATGGGCTAGAATTAATGTGGTTCAAATTCACCTTTGGCAATAATCAAACCTAAGACCTCTCACTTACATATGAAGAGAAATATCACTAGACTGTCGTACTAAGTGGTAAACCAAATTATCAATTAAAGACAAAATTGTAAGACATATATGCATTCAGACCGATATAAATTGATATAAAAAAAAAATCAAATTCAAATAAGATTAAGACTCTAACTCATGATCAAAGACATTTTGGCACTGGAAAAAAAAAAACAAGGGTTTGCATTAGGATTTCTAAACTAAATACTTAAGAAATTAGGGGCGACTTCACCTTCACCTCTTCTCTTAGCCATTGACATGGTTTTACAAGTTTTTTTTTGCTGTGAAATCTAATTTTAGTTGAACCGTAAGTCATCCTAGATGTCCACATCATGGGATGTAATTTGGATTGAAATGACCAATTTGACCCCTCTATGTGATAGTCACGTGAGTTTATTTAGCGGAAGACTAACATAAGTTTAGATTTGGCCCTCAATTGCTAACAATGCTCAACACGAGGTTTTAATTAACAACATTTTCACCATGAGGGTCACATTGAAAATGTCGTGTCACCACAAGGACTAGGAAAAATATTTGGCCTAATCTAAGATACCAATGTGGTACCAACCAAATGGTCTTTGGCGGTCAAGCTAGTATAAAATCTAGCTCAAGCAGTAGACAAGATAGCAAGGTATGTGTTTCCATGTGAACCTTAGGTGGGTGTATTTATAATAGTAGGGAGAGAGTCCTTAGGATATTGAATCCACATTAAACTGGGAGAATTATGGAGGATATCTAGCATAAGATATTGCTTCTTTTTAGGATTATCTAGAAAAAGTCCTAGGTTTTGTTTGGTTCCTATGTTTGGATTGGACAGTCACAAGGTTTAATGTATGTTGAGTGAAATCTCCACTTCCAAATTTGTTTAAGTTGAAGGTAGATAGATTATTCATTAAGGAAATCCATCTCTCTCAAGCCTAATATACATTAACAATTTCGGACAAACAAACGCTCTAGGGCTTGTGTTTGGTGTCTATGGTTAGATTGGATACTAATTGGATTTAATGCATTTTGAATGAGAAATCAATTACAACTTCCCAATTTGTCAAAGTTGAAGAAGATGGGTTTATCATGATGGAGACTCTAGGACTTTGTTTATTGTCTATTGTTTAATTGGATACTCGCTAGATTCAACGATTGTTGAATGAGAAATGGATGGCAACTTTGAAATTTGTCGAAGTCGAAGGTAGCAGATAGATTTATCATGAAGGAATCTGTCTTGTTCCTTACGTATATTAATGATTTCGAACAACAAACACTCTAGGACATTGTTTGGTGTATATGGCTAAATTGGATACCTTTTTTTTTTTTTTTTTTTTTTGATCAAACGATAAACTTTGTTAGATTAGACATCGATGGACAAGTCGACAAACAACATAGGACTTTATTTGGTGTCTTTAGTTGGATTGGATACTTACCAAATTTAATGCATGTCGGATGAGGAATGAATGGCAACCTCTAAATTTGTCTAAATTAGGGTACATAGATGTGATGCAAATAACCTTTTTCTCTCATTTTTAACAACCATTAACAATTTCGAACCAACGAATACATAATCATTGTTTGTTTTCTATGATCAGATTGCTCTCACTCATTCACTAGATTCAATGTATAAGTTTGAGGGAGGAATTAAATGTCAACTTCTAGATTTGTCTAATTTAAAAGTAGAAAACTTATTAGTAATGGAAGAAATCATTTCTTAATCACACCATATTTGTAAGAATTGAAGAGATTAGTTTCCTTCATAGTTAATCCATTTTATACATTTAATTTGAACGAAATTTGGAAGCTGTCATTCATTTTGTTTTTCAATATGCTTTGAACCTACTCTGTAATCTAATCCAATCTTTACAAGAGTTAAAAATGTTCGAAAAAAATGAAAATATTCATTAAAACAATTTCAATAGTACAACTTGTACAACACACGAACCCAACTTAACGGGCAAAAACAACAAATTGAAAGAAGAATAAAATTAAAACGGACAAAATCCGTACAAACAACTAAAAATCCTGCAAAGACTAAAATCTTGTTATTAAATATTTATAAAATCTTTTACCTAACCTCTACATGCCGACGTTGTCCTAAAAATCTTCAACTACCGCAGTAAATGTCATGGTGAAAAAATGGTAACTAGGACCTACCACCGCGATTTTGTCGGTTGGATAATTACAGGGCCACACAAATGATGATTTCAACAGGGAGTTTCTACGACGTCGTTTAGCGTCCACCTGAAAGTTCAAAACCACGTGGTCTAATCGTTATGAATGCACCGCGCCGCAGCCGTACCCGCAGCAGAACACGGATTCGCTCCCTCCTCTTTCTCTCTCTCCTCCGCACATAAAAAAAGGAAAAACCAACGGTGCTGATAAGCATCACTCTCTCATCCCAGTCGTCTCCTCTCTCCTTTCTTTTCCAGCGTCCGATCTAAAATCGTCCCTGCAATCACCATCTCTCGCGCCAAATAAAATCAAATAGGTTTTCTCTTGCTCCTTCATCCCTCTCTCTCTCTTAATTATGGCGGGTTTAGGGTTTCTGATTTTTTCGATTTCGGTTCCGTTATGTGATTTCTGTGCTGTTTTGGATGTAATTAAGCTAGGGTCTCAATGGCGGAAGCTCCCGTGAGTCCAGGCGGCGGCAGCCACGAGAGCGGCGGCGACGGGAGCGGGAGCCCGCGCTCGAACGTTCGAGAGCAGGACCGGTATCTTCCGATCGCCAACATCAGCCGTATCATGAAGAAGGCGCTTCCTGCGAACGGCAAAATCGCGAAGGATGCCAAGGAAACCGTCCAGGAATGCGTTTCTGAGTTCATCAGCTTCATCACCTCCGAGTACGACGTCGTTTTGTAATTTTTGATCGTAAATTATCATTTTTATTTTTGAAAAATTTATCTGTCGGTTTTGTTTTGATGTGTGGGTGTGGAATTATGTGCAGGGCGAGTGACAAGTGCCAGAGAGAGAAGAGGAAGACGATCAACGGTGATGATTTGCTCTGGGCAATGGCAACTTTAGGCTTTGAGGATTATATCGACCCCCTCAAGGTTTACCTCACCAAATACAGAGAGGTATAACTCTGTTTGCTAAGTTGTTGCGCCGTACTTGTTTGGTTGCTGAGAAAATTTAGCCGCAAATGAAATTAAGAGAAAAATATTGATCTCATTAGTTTGTCGTATTTTTTGAATTACTTGTATTCAATTAATCTCAGAATTTCGGATTTTGTTGCGAAACAAAACGGAGGGTTTTCTTATCTCATTTGTTGTAGGTTCAAAGTTGGTAAATTCATTAGTAACGTCATTTCATTTTGATTTTGTCGCGAAACAAAACCGAATGTTTTCTGATCCCATTTGTTGTTGGTTCGAATTCGGTAATTCATTGGTAACATTTCATTTTGATTTTTTTGCTAAGCGAAACGAGTGTTTTCTTATCTCATTTGTTGTCGATTCGAATTTGGTAAATTTGTTAGTAACATTTCATTTTGGGGTTTGACTAATACACTGTTGGTTTTGGTTTCAATGGTTGTCTTCTGGCTCGACTGGGATGTTTCAGGTGGAGGTGAGTTAAACTTAAGACCGTCATTTTCTATTTATGCAGCCGTTTTAATAATTTGTACCGTTTGCATTTTTTTCGCTTGTAATCAGATTTCTGTGTGTGGGGTAACAGGGTGATACCAAGGGCTCGGGGAAGGGTGGAGATTCATCTTCCAAGAAAGATGTTCAGCCAAGTCCAAATCCTCAGGTTGAATATGGTTTAATCTTATTAATGAAGCGATGGTCTTTTTTGTTTTGTGGGTATAAAGTGTGCTTACTTCTATCAGGGGATTGTAATTTATATGGAAGTTTGTCTTGTTCTTATGGTGGCAATTTTTCTTATGGTAGATTGCTCGCCAAGGTTCTTTCTCCCAAGGAGGGAATTACTCAAATTCTCAAGTAATATCTTGCTCTTTATTTCTCCATACCTATCTGTTTTTCAGAATTTTTTTCTCTTTTAATCAAGTTTCCTTAATACTTATCGTTGTTCAAATAATAGACGGTTGTCCTTTTATCGCCAATATATTTCCGTATAAGTTATTATCATTTCCATCTATATATAAGCAATACATTTATGATATTTTCCTTTGCAGAGTTCTCTTTTATTGAGGGCTACCACAAATAACCTTATTTGATGGAAACCTTGTAGGCCCCCACTCCGATTGTATTTTGAGATCCAAACTGTGTTTTTTAGGTATTTCCTTGAACAACATCCTTGCATAAAATTTGACAAATCCGAAACCATTAAGAGATCTAGTTGTACCCAAGAAAATGATATTTCAAGAAAACACTAATGACAATCGTTTAATTAAGTGGGTAAATGCGAGGATGAACTTTGAGGGAAGACCTAAACACTGATGGTTTGGATCGTTGAAACACAATGAGGAGTGGGCCCTCCAAGTGTGGTATGATGGAACCCTCAATTAAAGCTCCCTATTCCTTTACATGTTTTGAGCATGATTTGTGCAAGGCCAAATGATGGTTCTTCAGGAAGAATCATTGACAATTTTTTTCCACATCATGATTTAATCTTATTCCTGGCTTTGGTTGATTGGGTTATTTTCACTTCGGTTAAAGATACAGAGTTGCAATTTTACGTAATAATTGTGCCTGTCACTGATAGAATTGCAAATATATGCTGGATGATCATTTGCTTGTGGAAAATGGATAACCTTGTCTCTATGCAAAATAAAGTGAAAGCTGCACTCCTACACTTAAACATGCATGGTTTTAGTGATATGTTTCTGGTAATTGCTTATATACATTAATTTGGCTTGACATGAAACAGTGGTGTAATTTTGGCCACCCTGAACGTCTGTTGAAAGTTTCTGCAGAGTTTGTAGTTGCTGCTATGTTTTTCTTTTCACCCAATGCATGCTAGGTAGGTGTGTGCTTTCCAATAGTTAAGGCTAGTGCTATAATATATGCATTTGGCTGGGGAGATAATGAGATGTGGGCAAGCCACTATGAGCACTGTATTGTGTTTTAGTTCCGCTTCGAGCTTTCCAGTAGTTGAGTCTAGCTTCAATAATGTTAAATTTTGGGTAGGGAGAACATGAGACGAATGTTCCGATGACATTTCTGCCTTCGTCTGTTTGGCTTGTGTTACAATTCTATTGTACATGATTATTGCTTTTCATTTATCTTTGGTATCGAGAATCGCTTTATGAAAGAAACTATAGAAGTGTTATTGCTAGTGGTGAGTATGTTGGTTTTGTGGTTTTTGAACTCAGGATGATCCGATTTAACGAATGATTTATCGTCACAGAACCAATACAAGATAGCTCCTATGCAAGGGTCAGAGTAGATCAAGTCTTCTTCAATCGACGCAATAAATCAGCTGCCCTTTAGTGTCCAGAACAAACAGCGACAAATAGCGTGTTAAATTATCTGTTGTGAAGGTTATAATGCGAGGGTAGTATTAGCGATTTCGTTTGTTTACAGTAATGCTCTCTTTTCTGTATGGTTCGTATGTTAAGGAGTTTATTTGAGTTGAATTTCTAGTATTTTAAATCTCGGGAGGATCTGTATTCTTCTGATTTAGACTTTATCATGGCAATGTGCCTATTACGGAAGAATAACTTACATCGCACGGAACGCCATTGCGGTGCTGACCCGTGCCATGGTCGTCCTCCTCCTATAACAGGCCTCCAAATATTTGGCTTCTTACTTGTAAGGAGTCATCTTTGCAGGCAAATTACAGAACATGTGTAGAAAATATTCTTGTTATCTTAACGATTTACTGTGGCACTGCAAATGTGTCTGGATTGTACTCACTGGCAACAAAGAATGGCTCTGCATAAGCCAAGCAAATGTTGTCATAAGATTCTCTTAGACTTTATGGTCTAAGAAAAGTGTAGTCACTTGCCGTTCAATTTCATTCAACAGTTGAGAAGAAAGTACAATAACAAAAGTTGCTGTTTACATTAAGATCGAATTGTAACGGTTGTAATTTTTTTGAAAAGATTGAACGTTGGGCGGTCATAATTTTTCTGAACTACCGAATCTAGGCGAATGAGACTGTACAATACATTAATCTTCTTTGTACGATGACATTTCACGTCTTATCTCAAGTCTCCATTCAATCCCTAAAAATAGCAGTATCGTGCACAGGAAGGAAAAAGAATCCGTAAGAGAGAAAAAATTCAAATGGGGAGGGTCGAATGTGTTTGTGGGCGGAGGTCCACGTCGACATGTTGCTTTTTGCGCGCCCAAATCCGACTTCTAAAGATTCAGGTTTTGCGTGCAGTGCACGAATAATGAAAAAATGTTGAAAATTTTAAGTTTTAATGACAAGTGAATAGTACATGATTGATTTTTAGTGTAAAAATATGATTTGAACAGTACTATGAACTTTTCGTTAAAATTCCTTTTATTTATGTGGAAGCGCAACTAGAAACATCGCTTCTAAAAACATTGCCAACTAATTTTTAAATGAGGCATTGCTTTTTTCATGTCAGGTCATGCTTAATATTATTGGTCCTCGGCTTTCAATCAAAACGTAATAAACATTTTGGCAAATTTGTCAAAAGGACCAACCTAACGATTCGGTCTATTATTATTATTCCCATTGGTCCAAGTTGGGTTAGTTTTCCTTTTCCATGTTTGTTCAATCATAAGGATCACAAAAATTCAGTTATTTAGGGTCAATTTGGGATTGATGAGCTTTTAGAAAAAAACTGATCTTGCTGTGTTTTAAGAATAATCAGTTGTAAAATAAAACAGTTGAGTGTTTGATAAACTATATTTTTAAAAGTGTTGTGAGTTTGAAAAACATTGTAAAAAACATTTGGTAAAATTTAATGTAAAAATGATATAATTGTGTATAATGACAAAAATAGACTGGGAAGTTGGGGTGATGGTGGCAGGTGTTGTGGCAGTGGCAGCGACCTTGGTAATGGTGGTGGTACTGGCGGTGGCGAAAACGATGGTGGTGGCGGTGGTGACAATAATAGTGGTTTCAATGGTGGTGGTAATAGCAGTGGTGTAAGGTTAGTGCTTGTAATGGTAGGCGGTGACAATTACTTTGTGCTCCAAGAGATAAAATGAGTGTAGAAAGTTAAACAATGTCATTTTAAAAACTAAAGAAGGTATTACAGGAATTTGAAATATTCATTAAAGACTCAACTCTGCTTTTTATTAAATTAACTTTTAAAAGCAACCTTTTAAAAGCTGCTATCTGGAGGCCAATGTTTTTAAAATAAGTAGGTCATTTTGTTTTTACCAAAAACTTGGTTATTTTTTAACTTTAAAGTGAAGCAGTTTTTGGTGAAAAAAACAAACGGGGCTGTATTTATGCCTTAATTCGAGCTATGCTTTTGTATTATGCATAAAATTCACTTTATATATATATATATATATATTGTATTTTTTGGAATTAGGAATATCATTCCAAGGCAAAGAAGCCAAATAGGTACACGAAAGCCTACCTAGAAGCAAACACCATGAAAGACAGACCAAGATGAAAGCAGTGAAAGGGGATACATCCAGAAGACACTTCAAACAAGTGAAAGTGTCACCCCAATCACCACCACAAAAAAATTAATGTGGACACGGAAGACCATCATTGTTCAAAACATGTACCAACGAAGATGGGGGCATATCGACCCAAACATAATCACTCATCTCCGTAAAACCAACTGACACAAGAACATCCGCCGCCATATTGGGTAATCTTGGCACCCAAGACCAATGACATTTTTGAAAAGCCCCACTCAGCTGTTTGACCCTTGCCAAGATAGGGTAAGCCTCCCAACTACCATTTTAAAGAGAATCATTGAGACAAGAGACAGCTTTGAGAGAGTCTGATTCGAGAATGACAGAGCTAACACCCAAAGAGACACCCAATTCACACCCATGAAGTAGTGCTAAAGCTTCAGCCCCCGCAACATTAGGAGCCATGATAGAGTACCTCGTTGCTGCCAAAAACCTACCCCCCCCCCCCCCCTTTTGCCTGCATCACCACCCCAGTGAAACCCAACTTAGTCACCTTGGACCAGCTAGCATCAACATTGATTTTTGAATATGAATTTCATTTTCCATCCCCTAGTAGCGGACACGAGCAATTATTTTCTCATGAATTCATTTTCTTACCAAACTTAGTGTAAGAAGTGAGAAATAAATTGGTATCAAACTAATTATTTATACAATTCAAATTTTAAAACTTTTAACTTACACTATGTTTGGAGGAAGAAATTTAATATTACTAATTTACTAAGAAATTTTAAACGACAGAAGTTGAAATGATGAGATTTTATTATTTAGAATTTATGAATTTTCTTGTTTGGTTAATCTAAAAGAATAATGGAATTCAATACTGAATTTGTTATTTATAACTTTCAATCATAAAAATTAGTAAATGACACATATTTACATGAAATTTAAACTTGGTAATTCGAGATTCTGAATTCCAAGTTGTTTTTCTACGCGGAAATTCTGATTTTTATCCAAACTCCAAATTTATTTCCATCATCCAAACTTAGTGTTAGTGAAAAAAGGTACTATGTTTTATTCTCCAGAACTTTGCTTTACACTAATAAGGAGGAGATAATAACTTGTTGTCTAAATAATACAAAGTTTAATATAAAATATTTTCTAGATTCGAAAAATTCTTAATCTATCTCTGCTTAAAATTTATAATTTTACACAATTACGCTACGTTAAATATTAATTACAGCAAGATTTACAATTTTTATTCTAATGCGAGCATTTTTATATATATATATATATATATGAAGAGACTTAGCATTGGAATTGGGGCTTAATCGAAGGGCACTCGTAAGGCGGTGTCACTGAAGCTAATGAATCTCAATAATTGGAGGGTCCAGATCCATCCTAATCATAATCAAGAAGAGGGTCCCGGGCGCGTCATCCCAATGCGACTCGTGTAAACAATAGTCAATGGCTAACTGGCAGCCTTAGAATTCTAATTAATAAAGGAATTTGGGGTATGCAAAAGCATTCCAAATATTCTTGGGGAGATTATCTTTCCAACATATTTTTATCCCTTAAAGATCTCTAATTTATCATTTGAAATGTACTAACAATTAAAAAGTGCAATTCTTATTAAGAACATAACTAATTCAAAAAAAAAAAAAACAAAACAAAAAAAACTAAATAATCATAATATTTTTTGAGTATTTTTGGATATTTCTATTTTATATGAAAAACATGCGTTCCAAGTAGTGCTAATTTATAATAGGGATTTTTAACGAAAAACCTACGGTACTGTTCAATTTAACGAAAAATCACATTATTACACTAAAATGTCAATCCTGATACTATTCTTTTTACTTTTTATTTTGTCCTTATCATTAAAAGTCAAAGTTTTCAAGTCCTTTTCATTAGTTTTTCCTTTTATAATATGAGGTCACATATGATGTGACTCTACCTCAATTATTTTCTTCCCTTCATCAAAATATTTCACAAAGGGTTAAAAGTATACATGATACAAGGTTTTTTCTTTCCATAAAAAGTTAATAACTTATTTAATCAAATATCTTCAATTATTAAGTATATATTACGTTAAAAAAGAGAAGTGTTTTTAGCAATTCAAAAATCTTATTTTACACTACTCATAGCTGTATTTTTCTTTATAATTATAGAAAGTTTGGAGTCCAAAATGAGATTTTTTTAGAGTGCCAATAGCAATTTCTAAATTTTTTTATATATAATAATATAATAAAATTTTTTATTAGCATTCCAAAATAGTCTTGATCTATCCTAATTAGTGATTATTATCACATTACCCTTCTCCAGAATATTCAGCAATTTTTTTTTTCGAGATTACTTAGCGGTGATTATAGCAAAAAAATAAATAGCTAAGATTGAAAATAGAAAATAATTATAAAAAGTAAATTCAACTGCTAAACACCTGTAACATCGAATTGCTACGTAGTACTAAGACGCTTAAAATTTAGAAGTATTTAAAAAAGAATAATAGAAATTTTAAAAATAAAATAAAAGTGGCTTCAACTTTAAACAAATCTTTTAATTTAATAAAGATTCAGCTCCCACGTATATATATCTTCCGTTCCCTCCCACACCCCCTCATCATCATCCCCACCACCGTGACACCGTCGTCCTCCAGAAGAATTTCCAAGGCGAAAAAACCCAGAGACAATCGAACCCTTCACCCCTACGAAAAAACCCCACACGCTTACCTCTACAATTCAAGGTCTTCGACTCCCTCGAAGGCCGATTAACCACAGCAGCAACAACAGCATCAACTACTGCACCTCAGGTACAATTAAACAACCATAATTCGCAATTTTGATTGATTTAATTTTTTTTTTTTTTTGATTAATCTGTTGCTTTTTAAGTACATGATCACTCTTATCCGTGTTGATATGGAGAACCAATGATGAGTTTTTGTGTTGAATGTGGATTTTTGTTTTTCTGGGTTTTATATATATATTTTTTATGAGTCGGTTATTTTTGGATTATGATCAAGTTTTTGGAGAATTTGTATTGCTACTGAAGATTTGAGTGTTGGGTATGAGATAAAAACGCAAGCTTTCACATTAGTAAAATACATTTTGCTGATCATCTGGGTGCTTTTTGATGATCGTCTGTTTTCAGTTTTCGATTTTTTCGGTCTAAGATTGTATTTCGTGGCTTCTTTCTGTTTGAAGTGATATCTAATGCTAAAGTTTGTTTCTTTTTAATTGTTTGGTAATTCTGATTTGGATTTCTGGGTTGAATTAAGTTTTAGTTTTAGAACTAGAGTTAAGGTGGATTTATGCTCTGAT